GCTGCAATAACTCCTCAAACATAGAACTGAGAACTCTAGGCTGAATCATGCTAATACTAAAGGTCTGAAATAAACAAATCCAGATTGCCAGAGCATAATCCCATGACCACAAAAGATGATCGAGGTACTCCATTGCTCCTCACAAATGTGAAAGGATACAACATTGCAGACCAGTTAACTAGGACAACCTTCCCATAATCCAATCTCTTCAATAACAAATTAGTAAACCATTCAAAGCCCAAAATCTATCCGTCACTGTTCAGCCAATCCTTCTCTAAATAACATATTTGTTAATTATGTAGTGAAAAATCACATATATGACCAGTCACATAAAAGCATGATTTATTTGACCAGAAGCAACGGCTACTGAAGATTCAAAAATTGACACATGCAAAAATATGTCGAGAAACTGATAAATAAATGCAGTTTCCAATTATAAGGATGATGTAGAACACAGAATACCTCTCACTCGTTCTAAAAACAGCACCAGCATTTTCCAGCAAAATTTTCAACAACTCCAATGCGACAATCTTCCCCTTCATTAACTGCGGATCTGCCATTGCCTCCTTTGGTGGTATCTTCATGGATAGCTTACAAAGAGCTCTAAACACTAAGAATGCATCCCTCCTCAGCTTATTACCAATCTGAACTTCCAAATCATCATCTCTCTCACCCTCCCCATCTGCCAACTCCCCTTTTCTTCCCTCCAATGCCGTTTTGTACATACTAATCTCCCAATACTTTGCGTCCAACATATCCTTGTCAGTTGAATCCAGCAAATCAGCAGGATTCGTTGTTTCTACCGTAGTAGTCTCAAATGCACCATCGTGTGCACCTATGGAAACCTTACCTGGTATGGCCGGATTCAAAACCCCGTCAATGTCCTGCATAATTTTCGTGATGAAACCTTGTACGAACTGTGTCATAGACCCATCAGCGTCCGCTTTCTCAATTGGTTCCATCAATTCCGCAACAACAATTGGCTGAACCGGAACTGTAGACGAATCTGCCTCCATTCTCCGAAACACGATCACTAGCATTTGAATCAATGATGCTTTTGCTGTAGTTTGATTAACCACATTCTTACTATCCAAGTAGATATCGTAACAAGTCTTCACAATCTGAAGCAAACAATCCCCGTGAATTCGTAACGAGATCGACGTGACAGCCGATAACAGTGCCTTGAGCACCAAAAGCTCGAGAGCATCATCACCTAAATCATGACATTTGCACACCGATTCGATCAGCTTCGCCAGTAGTTTCCCCTCAGCGCCCCCGCTGGGGTCAGCCTCGCCTCGCAAATAACCATGCGCAATCAACTTCTGAATGCAATCAACTGCTGGATCAGCTATCTTGAGAACTCCCGAGGATGAAGCATTCATGAGAGGGCTAAGAATGGACTCTGACTCGACAAGCGAATATTCAATCGGACCGCCATCGTTGAGTGGCCCAGGAAGAGAGCCTTCCGCTTCGGAACCAGTAGGAGACGACGGAGAAGATGGAGAAGAAGCTTTCGAAGAGGACGTGAAGCGTTCAAGAACAGATTTGCATTCATGTGCGAGCTTGGAATGCTTCCGCCACGACGCATTCTTAATGATCTTCTCAAGAGCTGGGGATATGACCAGGCTCAGACGGGAAGCGGCTTCCGAAGAAGCCATTCCCACCGAGTTTGTAAGATCCGGACAAGCTAGTCAGGATCTAGCTAGAAACGAACAATTGTTAGGGTTTTAGCTTCAACTCTGGTCACCGGAATGTTACCTGCTCCGGCAATGACGGAATTTGAGTTTGTCGGATTAGATCGCAATCGCCGCCGATAACATCGCCGGCCCGGAGAGGGTATTCTCTCTGTGTCAGAAAGGGAGGGAGAGGGAGAGGGAGAGAGAGAGAGAGGGAGAGGGAGAGGGAGAGAGAGAGAAATGGGGAAGGGAGGGGTTGAGATTTAGATCGCGCTTCGGCCGTCTTAGATTTAGCTTAATTTTGGGTGTGAAATTATTAATAAGCCCTTTAAATTTACCGAAGAGACCTTAAGAACGTTGAAATAACGCTCATTTTCTTGGGGTTTTTCGGAATAAAAATTCTAATGACGTGTTTTTAACTGCTCCGATCGACGGGTAGCTCGGGAAAGGAAATTCAACCTCGTAAATCGATTACGTTGCCTGGATTAATACTACTCATGAATTATTATAAATTTATACGGATAAATAAATAGTAATTTGTCCAAATGACATAAACGCCCCTCTTAATTTTGTTTTTTTACTAGTTCAGCCCTTAGCTAAGATTGGCGCTATCCCACCTTGATTGTTTTTACTTAGTTTCTAAATTTATGAAATTATTGTTAATATTGCTAATACCAGCTAATATAGTTTAGTATTGAAGGTATTTATAGCTATATCTTATATTGATAGTTTTATCTCTACCGCTATAATTATTTGTATTCTTCGAGCGAGACGCTCTAATAAAGGTTGTCATTCAGAGTTTTAGGATGAACTAAGGTTATATGGCGAAACATACTCGTTAATAGCAAGAACTAAGATTGTAATTCCTTTCGTGATTAAACACTGGGTTGGGATAGATCACCCCAATTCGAGCATCCAAACACTTGAAATGTTTGCCCAATGAGAAGTTTGTGAGGTGTTGTTGCAAGCCGCTCTCTCCCAACCTTCACTCAGTTGTTAGGCATAGTTGTGACATAATCATGTTTGTCCAAAACGTATTGTTTGTAATTGTGTCGAATGTCCCAGTCATACTCGTCCATGACGTATTGTCTATGGTCATATGTCCATTCTAAACCCCTCTTTAATATTCTTGTTATGTCGATGTAGGGTGTATTACCGTTCATCAACATCATGTTTACACCCTCAAAGGCTAAAATACCCAGAAATGTACTAGGGAGATATAACTAGTTGTCAATTTTTACTACCCTGATTATATATGTTATCAAAGACGTGGTTGTTACTTATTCACTTTCTTTCTCTCTAACGATTTCCAATGCGTTCATTGCTCACGTTTTATAAAATATTTTATGCCAAACGTGACTTGAGATTCAACCACACGTTTGAATTGTCCACAAAGTTCGATTTTGTACAGCTAACTTACTCACTAAGTTAGAACAAGTATTGCACAATCGTTGTCCCGTTGTTGTAAGAGTGCAATTGTGACACACTATTAGTAAATCAAAAAATAGATCGAGATTACAGATTACTAATGATAGAGGGAGGTTGAAACTCAAACACGTTCAGTGAATCTACAAATAATTAAATATTTATTAATGCCATGAATTTTATTTAAAAGAAATTCAACACAGTAGCTAAGTAGCTAATATATGTAAATTCTGTGATTTTATTTGTATACAGAAAGAACATCATAAAAATAAATAAATAAATAAATAAAAATAAAAAGTTGAATTTTGGCATAATTTCAAATTTACTCTATTATAAAGTAGATACAAAACTCTTCAACAAATTACCATATTATAATGAGAAAGGTCAGAACTTTCGGTAAAATATAAATATATTGAAATATATACGATCGTGAAAACGATAATATAAAAACGTACGCAAAAAAATTTGAAAAATTGGAATCATCAATGAGAACTATAGATGAAAACATCGATAAAAACAACGTCGTGAACAACTTTTATACCTTAGATAGCAATTAGACTTACGATCATATGATGGTAGGTATCAATCAACTTATCTCAGAATATACATTCACTCGTTGAACACGAAAACGAGTAACCTAAACTAATTAATGTAAGACGAATAGCACTAAAAGATTAAAGAAAAAACAACTAACTAGACGACACAATGGATTCATCGATGAAAAAAATGTCAAATCTGGAATATATGAAGCTAATATTTTCTAAGAAATCATTCGGAAAAAGAATACATAATCCAAGCAAGAAATAAATTTAGAACTCAACTCGAACAAGAACAAGATTCTTGGCTTGATTTGACATCTAGTAGAGAATCTAAATAAATGACCAAAACAAATTCTGATTTCACTTTGCATCAAATGGAACAAACAAGATCCCTCATAAGTTATTTTCGGTTTCCATTTACGATCGAAAACGATCGTTAATGACCATATCGAATCCTCAGTGAAAGCATTTCATCGAAAAATGCTAGAATATCAAAGAATTCCAACAAAGAAAAAGAAATGTAACCAAAGTAGTGATGAAATAATGTAATATAAGCATTCAAACCAACCTGAAGCCTGCTGATGATATTGAAATAAAAGCACCATTGGGTCACTTGACTTGAATACTCAAGGCTGGATTCTTTGATTTCAGCTGCAAAAGAGGAAATCGTTAGCCACAAACAAACCTTGCCAGAAGTGCTTCAGTAAATCTTGGCTAGCCAGGGTTGAAACGTGGTTCTTTCACCCCGATCGTAATCGACTCCAAGAGAAACGTGCCTCATCATATGCTCGCAGCTTACAGCCATCCTTCAAAACCCAACGACGTTGGATATCGGGCTGGTTGAACTCCTGCTTAAGATATTAACAGAATAATGTGCCAAAGAACAACGAAATCCAATGTTTTTTATGAATCAAGACGAAACAACATTCATGTCTCCATGTTAGAGCAGTACAGAGAGCCATCTAAGACAGACATTCTTACAAGATATAAATGGCAAATTGTGTAGTCAATAAGAAGCCCTGTTCATAAGATTAAAACGAAACAGCAACTAAGGAATCTGACGTCAATGGCTACCGATCATCAGAGACAGGACACACACAAATGCACTCAGAAAGCTCATATATCTCAACATGCGATATAAAAGGTAACGAAGGAAGTCTTCAAGGGTCATGACTGTGGAACGAAAACAATGGCGTTCTAAAGTGGTCGTAAACTCACTGGAAAACAGGTAGGGAACCGAACTCCGAGCTAAGGACAACATTTATATAGACAAAACCCCCTTCAAACAAGGACATGGATTATCAAACAAGTTGCAAAAACTCAAAAGCCCAAAGCAGCAGCAGCAGGTATAAACACAAGATTCAGAACAGCTGACCTCATAACTCGAACAGCCAAGATTTGATGTAAAAGCTAAATTCAAGCATATAGTCATCGATGATTACAGATTCAATGGGATGCATAAGAATCCTCTTTACATCTTTAACATAAACAAAATATTGATAATTCTGAAGAACATTTAAATAAAATGTCAACACATCACAGAGCTCTCTCCCACTCATTCTTCTAGTGGAGGGGAGAGACCAGAGATTTGTACAGATAGCAGCCTATACATCCTGCATCTAAAACCAGCCCACCATGAAGTATACATAAGAGAATCGAATGTCTTGAGTTATCGAACACTGGAATATAGAGAGCAGAAAGTGCAGAAATGCACAAAGCAATGTGTGACAAAGCATATCGAAAAGAGCTAAAAGAGAAAAAAAGAAATAAAAATATCACCACGTATCCGAATAAGTAACGGAACGAGATTGGATAGAAATGGTCAGTGGTATCAAAAAAATTTGAAGGCCCAGACCAGGGGTAACAAATACTGTTGAGTAGAGTCTGTGTAGAGTAATCAGTTAGCCAAACTTTACAAAAATACATTGAACAAGGATGCCAGAATGCTCACTTGAGGCTTCGATCTCCTGTATACATAATTTACAGTCCCCCGTCCCGATTCCAGCAGAGGGAATGTGCAAGTGAGAGAACCATAAGCTCATGACTATACTAGAGAAGGTCACGGGGCTCTTCGAGAGCTTAAACGATTTCCCCGGGCTTAAATCCACTATCTCCACAATCTGCATTAGAGTCTAGATCACAAGGAGAATCATACCATTTAGGGTTCTCAGGGTAAAATCCGTCAACATGAATACCGACAAGACCTACATCTGCCACCATGCTCTCGTCGTGTCTCATGGGTTTGATGAGTTTTGTATCCTCACAGCCGAGAATGTTTTTATCGTTAAAGTCAGTGCATTTAAACCATCTTTCAGGTTTGCAAGGGTCGCTTGTCAGTTCTTTCGGATTTCTACAGTCGGTCCTCATATGGTCCTCCCAAGGAACAACGTCCCGCAGGGAGTGGCCAAAACTGTCTACGTTGTCCTCGATCAATTCACCATCTTTGCCATCCCCATATAAGCGTTCGTGATGGTGATTGCTCCAATGTGCCAAATCATTCTCCCCATCTAACACATCGTCTGAATGAGGCTTATCTGCAAGCAACTCGATTGGCTCCAATTTCTCTTCCCTTATACTCCTAAGTTTATTTAAAACATCAAACAAATCACGAGACACTGAACCCAATAGCTCGTGTGGGACCTTCATAAGTTTCCCTTCTAACAAGTCAAGCTCATTTCTCACCTCATGCACCTGCTGAAAGATTGAAAGCTGCAAATCTCCCTCATCCTTCCCCATCAATCTAAATCCTTCATTTTCCATTTCATCAGTCACCCCATACACTGTATCACGATCCATTAACAGGCCACCTTTGTGTCCGATCACGCGATGCATAATTCTCGCATTTCCATCCAGTGGCCCGGGTTCATGCCCCGAATGCACAGCATACAACTTAAACACCGCCATACCCTCATCCAGATACACAAAGGTCTTGTCCTTGTCATTGTAATTGGTAATAGGTACAATGGCCCGAATTCGGAATCCACACCCGCATCTCTTTGATGCATATGGCTCTCTTTTCAAAACCTTTGCCTTCTTTGTAGCAGGCTCCCCTGCCCTATGACAAGCATAGTCCTTAACCTCCGCCATGAAAGGCTTATACCTAATATACTTCTGCCTAATGCAAAGCACCACCTTATGTTTAGCAGCCAATTGCTGAAGCTTGGAAGGCACTTCCTTTGCAGGCACCTCCAGAGTATCCGTATACTCAAACTTCCGACGCTTACTCCTCGAACCTGACGCCGAGGAGGCTGAATTACAAACATGGCAAGCAGCAACACAAACCCTAATGTAACTCTCAGGAATCCCATAAAATTTAGCACCTACAGTCCAAACCTGCTTAATTCTCTCTATGGTTTCCTTCAACCCTAAATGTTTCAAATCCGTATCTCCATGAAAACTCGTAACAATGTCCTGCCATTGACTAATATGTGAAACGAATTGCTGAGTATTGTTCTTGAAACAGAGAAATTCGTTACCATTTTCGTCGACCGTCGCCGTGAGTTTGTCCTGGATTCTCTTCCACGCCGTAAGATACGCGGTGTCCTCGTTCCGGTCCTTCCACACCGTCCGCCACGACTTGAGAACGGAGCGCGACGTGGCGAGGCGTATTTCACTCGGCGTCGCGAGGCGGTTCTCGAGAATGCAACGGATCATCAGCGAGTGCGATTCTGGATTAAACGTGTAAAACTGAGACGATATGTGAGGCTCCGGCGAGATATAGAGAGGTGGTTCGTGAATATTTTGAGAAGTCGATGTAGGGTTCGGAGCGAGTTGACTCAGCCAAGTGGAGTGAGTCGGCGAATCTTCAGATGACGAGTGGCTTGGAGACGACGGAGACGGCGACCGGAAGAGCACGATTTCCGGCAAGGAGAACGTCGGCTCACCGTGATGCGAATTCGAAATGGATGGCTGAGATTCAATGATCTGGTTCGCAAGTGGGTTCAGATCATCGTGTAGACGGTGGTGATGGAAGAGATCCTCTTCAATTTTGCTCGGATTCATCTGGGAAGAAACGGAAATGGGTCTTTCCATGGAAGAACGATTCTTCTGCAATGGTTTCTCTCTAAGCTTCGTCTGACATTTTTGTGTAGCTTTCTCTCTCCTCACACTGTCTTTTCTTTCTTCTGTTCTATCTGTGTTTCTCTCTCATCTCTTCCTTTCCCCTTTGCTGTTCTGATTTGGAGTTCGAATTTTTTTGGAATTTTTGGTTCATAATATTCAATTAATTATAACACATTCCTTTAAACTATGTTTTGCTTTTTTAAGACTATGTTTTTAATGCAATTAATTATAACACATTTATTTCGCCTTTCATTTACCCTCTCTAATCTCGTCTAAGTTCACCGCTAGTAGATATTGTTCTCTTTATATTTTTTCTTCTAGATTCCTTCTTTGAGGTTTTAAAACACGTCTACTAAGGTTTGCGTCCTCACGAACACACCGCTCAGTGTTTAGTCCGCTGCTAGTAAATATTGTCATCTTTGGGCTTTCGTTTTCGAGCTTCCCCTCAAAGTTTTTCAAACACATTTGCTGGATAGAGGTTTTCACACCCTTAAAAGAAATGTTTTATTCCCCTCTCCAACCAATATGGGATCTCACACATAAATTTGGACAAGGTCGGGGTTGAGATTAAAGATGAGGTGAAGAATATAATGATCATCCCGACCCCATTTAGCTATCAAAGGAAAAATATCTCCTTATTTCCTCCTTCATTTTCCGTTTAAGCAGGGATTCCCTACCTAGTTCGATGTAGGTCAAATAGACATCTCTAATTGAATTCTCTCATTTGCACGTTGTCAATCTTTTGAAGTAAGATGATTTGAGTAAAATAAATCGTTTACAATAATAAAATATGTGTATATATATTTATATATTATTTTTAAAAATTACTTGTTATCGAAATGTTTAACTTTTTATGTATCGTTTTTAGGACCATCCTTATCTTCTAGAACTGTTTCAATTGTTCTAACTGTCAACCCGAATAAGTTTTATTAATAACCATAAATTTTATGGGTTAGGTTAGTTCGTGTGGGTTAAGCCATTTATTCAAGTTTCTGCTTTAAATCACACCCAAAAAACAGCAACAACAAAATAGAGACTAAATTGTTCTCGAGTAGACATCGAATACCTAAATCAGGTGGGTTCAAGTAAGGATTTACTCATTATTTAAAATTGAACGATAATTTTGAAAATTTTTTTATTCGTATACTTGAACATGACATCATCTCCAAATCTCGTTTCTTATTTTTTTTAGCTATCATTAATATAACATCAAATTTAAAAATTTAATACGTTGCATAAAAATATTATACATGACACTACAGGTGTACTTGATCACTATGATGTCATTATTTATTTTATTTTAATATTAGTAAACAAAAAATGTCACTATTTATTTTATTTTAATGTTAGTAATCTCAAAATAAATTACTAATATTTTGAAAGAAGTTTTGAGCCGGAACAGAATCCGGCCCGGCAACGAAATCTATTTGGGCCAAACCCGACTAACATTTGGGCCTATGCATTGTAGTCGCCCACTATAAATATATATAAAATTTTGGATAATAAAATTTGAGCATAAATAAGTAAATAACCTAATTTAAAATTTTTATTTTTCAAACTAATTTTTTTAAAATAATTATAAAAAATCAAATAATATATATAGGATAAAAATAAATTAGTATGGGGTGATTTCGATATTTCCCTACATCCCTACGACGCGACTCGCCATTAACTTTAGATTTTTAAAATTACTTCAGAAAGTGAAGACTGTCTTCGTGAACTGACATAAACATAAATAATTATAGTATGTTTTGTTTTTACTCACATATTTTAGATTTATTGCGGTTATTTTACCAAATAAATATATTATGGAATTTATTTATAATTACTTAAATTTAAAAAAAAAATGCAAAATACCCAAATAATTGAATTATTATTAATAAATATGCGGGAAGCTGACCGACATAGTTCAAAAGTCTCCTACTCTTGTCTTGCCTAAAATATAATATCGCCCATTTCAAGCCAGTAATTGTCAGTCGCCACAAGTGGAAAATATAAATAAATAAATAAATATATTATTTAGTTGGTACTATTATTAGTCGCCAAAAGGGAAAAATATAAATAAATAAATAAATATATATATTTACTCGGTACTATTATTTTCCGATTTTTTTTTATTTATTTATCGTTTCAAAATTGAATTTAATATATAAATGGTAAAATTTAATCAAAGTTGATAATATTAACTAAAAAACGAAAACATTAAAATAACAATATTAATTAGTTTATTTTTAATCTGAAAATAAAACAAAAACAAAGTGCTCCAACACCAAGCACGTGATATCTATGATGTCTTGTAATATTGAATAATTCAAAATCTTAGTCAAAAGTAGATAAAAACTATAATAATGGCATTTTAGATAAATACTAATTAATACATATATGAGTTTAAATATTATAAATATTTTATGTTGTAAAATTAAATTTAATTTGGGCTTTTAAGATTAAGCTTTATGGACAACATTTGTGTTTAATTGAACGGTTTGTGGTACTCGACCCTTTGAGGTTGTCCTCATGGTCGAGCTTCAAAGGCCAATTGACTCCTCATGGTCAAACTTCTTTTAGGTCGTGTTTTTTAAAACGGTTGAACTAGTAAATTTCGGTTAGTTGACTTTTCTCTTTGCTCGATCGATAACTTTACTCACAGACATATACCATTAAAATCATTAATTGTCACCTTTCATCTTAGTGGAATTATTCATAATATTTAATAAATTTTAACTTTTACCGAGAATGGTAAAATTGAGTTTTTTTTTTTTCACCCGTTTAAAATATAAATACCTACCATATTAAAAAAAATATTTGAACAGTATTAACCACGTGAAGAAAAGGTGAAAGAGTCTAATTTACAGTTCACTATTTTAACAAATATAAATATTAAAATAAATATTTTTGTTGGAACATTTATTATTATTATTATTATTATGGTTTACCAGCTGTACTTGCTTTAACGAAACAAATAAAAAATTAGAGAAACGATAAATAAATAAATAAAGAGAGAAGAGAAGGATTGAATAATGGAAAAGTTATAAATGTGAGACAAAATTGGTGCCTAAAAAGAAACGCCAATTAAAAATAAATAAATAATTATTTTAACATAAATAAATAAATATAGGGCGGGGAAAGCATGCATGCCCGCTGCGGCACCCATTTATTAATTTTTTTATTTTTATTTTTTAAATAATAATAATATAAATAAATAAATAAAAAGGCGGGAGCGTTGCGAGGGAATATTTAAAAATACCGCATAAATTTTGGGCGCCAAGGTTGGAAAATAATAATGATAATAAATAAATATTTTCCCATTAAATTAATGTATTTTTATGAAATTTCTAAAAATTTGACCTTGAATATATAATTACCTTACCCTAATTTTCTTTGAACATGGCTATAGAAGTGGAAGGTTAAATTCGTAATTTTACTTCAAGATCAAAACGTATTTTTTATCATGTCATGAGTAGTATCTCGAATCAACATGACGTAAATATTTAAGAATACTTCGTCGTTGACACCGTCTCTGTTATGATTATCAATTTGTATAATTTGATGACGTGGAAAGGAAAATTCGAGCCTCTTATTTATGGGTTGCAATGCTCGAATGTGTAATTTTACATTTATATTAATTTTTTTATTAAAATTTTAAAGAATTGTTAACCAAATGAAATACTTAAAATTTTAAATTAAAGCGTATAAATTATTTTAAAATTTTTTAAAGTGTGAGATAAAATGACCCAACTTGAAAATACAAGAATTAAATAATAATAATAAATAAAAAAAAAAGTAAAAGATAGCTATAATTACAAAAGATTTATATTGTTTAAAAAATCTTATATATTTTTTGTTATTTTATTTATATTTTGTAAGATTTTATTTGGATTTTAGTCACTTTATTTACAATCATGTCTTGCATATTCCGTCTTAATTAATAAAGAAAATAAAAATAAAAAAGTGACCTAATTAAGTATGGAATCATATAAATATAAACTAAAATTAAATATTTTCGTATATATTTATTATTATTATTATTATTTTAATTGAGGACGGTTTCAAAATGTTAATTTTTTTTTTTATTATTATTAAGGATAAGGATGAACGAAAAAAACCAGATAGCTACAAATTTTGATATTTACAAAACAATATATTATATAGTTTTTATTGAGTATTGGAAAAGGCTTTTTATTTATTTATTTAAATGCTATATTAAAAAGTGATTTAAAATTATTGAAGGTTTAATTTACTAATAATCTAAATTTCAATTCATTTTTTAGCTCTTATCGAGTTTAAAAATAAATCAATATTTGTGGACCCGCTCCAAATAGAGTAAGGAATCCCCTTAAAATGAGGAATGAAGGAGGAGGGCGAGATTTCTCTCACATTTTGCCACGTATTACATTGCGTATTCTTTACATATTGTTATAAATATATTTAAGGCACAATAAATAAATAATATTCAATATATATATATATATATAATTATGTTAGAAAATAAAAAATTAATGGCGAAGAGTCTCGCATTGATCCTAATAAACTTTACGGTAACAAAGATTGACGTAAGAGGCGAGATGGATAGAAGGACTTTTGTCCACCATATAGACATTTTTAATCTAGCTCGAGAAAAAAAAAAATTATATTTTTAATTAATCCAATAAAAATATAATTTTAAAATTATTTTGAAAAATATTAGATAATAAAATAAATCTCCATAAATATATATATTAAGATATTTTTTGGGACACATGTTGATATCAAAATGCATGGGATTTTATTTTATTTTTTTTCTTTGTAAAATAATAATAATTAATTAATTTTAAAAAAATAAATCAAACTCGTGAATACAGGTGTTAATTTAATGCTCAACTACCTATCCGACACCCCTGATTTTGTCTGTATTTCTATTTGAGCTTTCTTCCAATCATGTCGCTCCACCTCTCCGACCCCATTTGTGACACGTGTGCGTGTTTTTTTTTTAAATAAATAAAGTAATAAAATTATTTAATTTAATGTTTCGATTTTATCTTAAAAAAAAAAAAAATGGCATTTCGATTTAATTGGCAAGTTATTCCATCTGAAAGTTGCCTTATTAATTAATTCCACAATTTGGTAGGTATCCGTTACAT